GAAGGAATAGAATCAAAGAGGGGAGTGATATGGGGTGGAGGCACTTGGCCACCTGCTGAACTTGGACATTAATTTTATATCATGACCCCCTTTTAAGCCAGTGAGCTGGGCTTCAGTTTTTCCCAGGCCATGCACATTTAATTTATTTCAGAGAAACTCTAATTGTATTTTCACTGCAGTATCTTGTATTTTTTATTTGTGATTTAAGAAATGTGAAGAGAAAATACACAGACACAATAATGGCTAACAGTGTTTCTTTCATTCCTTGTTCTAGAGCTAACCACTCTAAAATTGTTTGGTAATGTCACTTAGTGTAATTAATTGTAACATATTCTTTTAAATAAATTGATTTATTGATCAAACACTTCTTTGGTTTCCTAGACTACAAATCCTTTGGGTTGTGTGGGAAGAAGTGAAGAGGGACCTTTGAGATTTGAGTTAGAGTAGTCAGTCTGAAAAGAAGAAGAAACATCTAACCAGTTTTCCCAGGTAACTAGTGGGACAGTTTTTTGAGGGCAGGGAATGGAGAAGGGTGAGGAAAGAAGCCACGGAAGCCCCTTTGTTTGCAGTTCTCTTCCCAGTGGCTTCTTTGAAAATTCCTTCTTCTCCTTCAGATCTCAGAGGTGACTGAGCTTACCCCTCCCATCTTCAAGCTTGCACAAAAATCCTTTGAAGATTCACAGGATTCCTTTCTCAGCCATGCAGATAGAGCCTGGCAGAGCTTTTGGTACAGATCTTAGCAATGGCCCCTCCTCCCCACCCCCAGCAACATGTATATACTTTTTCAGGTAAATTGGGAAAGTTTTTCTCTTTGGGATCTGGACTGAAAGGAACACATTATGACTGTTGAATGGCCAGCGCAAAACTAGGCACTGTGGGTGGCCTTACTCTCCTCTGCTCCCACACTCCTGAGAAGAAGGGTGGTCCTACTGCCTTTTGCTTTTACAGAGGCATCTGAGGTGCTGGGGCCTAATTACCTGCTCTCAAGAGTACCTGTTCCTCTCTGTACATTTGTTTATGAGCTGACTCTGGTCTGAAAAGCTCAGCATTTGTAGTGGGTGAGACGTTTTAATTTTTTTATAAAGCTTCATTTATTATTTTTACAACTTCTGACCACATGCTTTGGTTCCTTAACTGATGACCATAAGACCAAGGACCATTGTGACATTTTGTTTGGCAGCTTGGGAAGAGACATTGTTCAGGGGCTCATACACTCACCCACCCATTGGCTTTGGATATTTAAAACCTAAGAAACACCACTATGCTAATGGAGGGGGAAATGTTATCTTTCCTAAGCAAAGAATCCATAAAGAAGAACAAAGTGGAATTCTAGAATTAGAGTTACAGTGGTTAAAGTCAAACTTTTACTAGGTATCTGCTGTTGGGGGTGGGGTGGGGAGATTGAGATACTGCAACAGACACAAAAGCAAAGAAACATTTCTTCCAGCTTACAGGCTCACAGAAGAGTGAGATACTTGCGCGTGGCCATGATACATAGCAGTGAAAGGTTTAAGTGCCATAAGGACTAGAAAAGGAAGGGGAAAGACCTGTGGATGAGGGCCGTTAGGGTTTTCATGAAGGAAGTAGTGTTTAAGATGAACCGTTGTAGTGTGAGCAGCATTTCAACAAGAAGGCATTCAACAAACATTTATTGAGCCATTATGTGCCAGACACTGTAGTAACTGGGAATGAAAAGACATGGGAGAAAAGGGGCCGAACTTGCCCAGAGAACAATGAATAGTTCCACTGGGGTATGTGTAGGAATGAAGTGGAAAGTAAGGCTTCAAAGAGCCTTGAATGCCAGACTGAGGTATTCTGTGAAAAAAAAAAAAAATCAGAGAAGTTTTGTTTTTTATTAGCTGCAGTTTAGAAAGATTGATGCTTCAGAACATAGACAGAAGGGCCAATTAGAAAATTGCTGTGATTACTCAGTTAATAAGTATAGGCAGTGATAATTGAAAAAGAGGGAAATGATATGAGAAAGTTTGTGGAAGTGAAATCTTTAATGATTTAATACCATTGAGCTTATGTGAAAGTACTAAAAACTCCTGAGGTTTTATGTCTACGTGACCAGAAAATAGAAATATATGAGTTGGGACTTTATGGGAGAAAGTTTTAGCATTGGCCCTGTGATGATTTAGATACGGATGGGAAATCCAGTATAGATGTCCAACGGTCATTTCTTATTTACTAAGCAATGTCTAATGTTTGGGGCACTGTTTAGGGTGACGAGGATACAGTGCTGGACAAAGCAGAGTAGGTAGTAAATGTTGGTGAATTAACTTTTAAAAGATGACGATGACTCTTGGCTTCTTGGGAGAACAAATTGTAGGAGAGCAGGAGAAGCAGCATGGAGACAGATGAGAGCAATGTGACGTGGACAGTGCTGGTGGCTGTGGAGATGCAGAGACATGAGTAAGTAAATCAGCTGAATACTTTAGAGGTAGACTTAGTAGGGCTTTGCGGTTGGATTGGGGAGGAGACATGAGAGAGAGGGTGTAATCCAAGTTTTGGCTTGAGTGGGTACCTAGTGGTGCTGCTTACTAATGATGAAGACTGGGGGAGAAAAGGTAATACCAAAATGGAGTTCAGGACAAAAATTAGGCTAGAAACATGTCACTGGGACTTGGTTTTCATCAGGCAGATGAGAGGATGCAATATATAGGAAGGAAACCAAGTTTATGAGGAGCAAGAAGAAGCTGACTGCTCTGTGAAATAGACTGAAAGAGGGGCCATTAGAACCAGGGGCTTGGATCAGGGCTGTTCAAGTTACCAGATTTGGAGAAGAGAGTGAGGCTTGGCCATGAATGGGAATTGCTTCAGTCACAAATACCTGAAGCCAAGGCTGTGAAAGGCTTTGAAATTTTAGCGGGAAAATTGAAAGACAAAGGAAACACTGAAAGTCAGAGGGCCTGGCTCTCAGGCCAGCAGAGTCCAACCCGAGGAAATAGAGACACTTTGCATTACGTTTATGCTTTCCAAAGCTTTAAAAATATGGAAAGCGAATGGGAAGTAATTATTTAGGGCTATTTTTTTCCCTAGCCATTGTCCCATCACCTTAATCTCCCTAACTGAGGATATGTTTCTAAAGGTCTGCTTTCATTTCTACAACTGAAAGGCTCCACTCTATCCCTGATATTAACATGTCAGCTCCACTCTTCTGGCTCAAGAAGTTATTTCCTTCTCTTCCCTTTATGCTGCCATTAACATTTGAACATAACTTGATTATTTTAGAAGAAAAAACAGACAATAAAGGTAGCCACTGATGTTGCAGCAGGGGCTGCCACACCGACGTCTGGGAAGAGGCCAAGAAGGAGGCAGCTTCTCAGTCCTGTTGCCACCCTCACCCCCCAGGAGAGAAACCCGAGTCAGTGAATCACTCTGGGAGATGCCCTTTGGTCTAAAACTCACCTTCCGTCTTTCCATCCTGACTTAGAAACTGCCCTGCAGTTGAGGCAGCTCATGGGGAAATTTGTAGATATTAAATGCTGACTCCTGTCCCCCTTGCTACACAGGCTTTTTCTCATCTCTGAGCACACCCACACACACAGCTCTGTGTCGTTGAGATTTCAGGCGCTGTCTACTTGGCTAGGAATACTGGCTGGATTCTTCTCCTTTGTTAGGTCCCATGTCTGATCTTTACCAATCCAAGAGATACTTTTTTCTCCCAATACACTGTCCACATACATATCTGCATAGCACTTCACATTTTGCTTCTCTTTTTAACTATTCTTAGTTTGAGGTCAATGAAGAGTAGCAGAGGTACAGGGCAGTGATCTGGGGATGAGTTGGGATTTACTCTTGTGCCTTCACAGAGCTCTGACCTGAGGCCAGATCAGAGCTGGAAGTTGAGCAAGTTTATAAGAAGGGACATATTGAGGGTGGGGTAGCAGCCTAGAAGCACATGTGCTATGAAGTCGAAGAAGACACCTGTGTGATCCCGAGCCTGCCCTAAAGCAGCTCACAGAGAAGAATCTGGGAAGTGGAGGGACTTAGGGCTTATGTAGTCCACCCTCTACCTGACGGACTCACTCCTAAGCCTGCTTGCTACTTCTTGGGATCTTTGCCTCAGGTCAAAGAACAGGTAAGAGAACATCATGGGCTTTGGAGTCTGACAAACTGGGTTCAACTCCTACAGCCATGCCTTACTGGCTTTGTGACTCTGGGGAAGTTAACCTTCCAAGCCTCCTTTTCCCGTCTGTAAAATTATGTCCTACCTAGGCTGGGCGTGGTGGCTCATGCCTGTAATCTGAGCACTTTGGGAGGCTAAGGCAGGAGGCTTGCTTGAGCCCAGGGGTTCAAGACCAGTCTGGGCAACATAGCAAGACCCTGTCTACAAAAACAAAAACAAAAACAAAAAAAAACGTTTTTTAAAATGAGCTGGGCGTGGTGATGCATGCTTATAGTCCTAACTACTTGGGAGGCTGAGGCAGGAGGATCCCCTGAACCACGAGTTCGAGGCTGCAGTGAGCTATGATCTCACCATCACACTCCAGCCTGAGTGACAGAGCAAGACCCTGTCGCAAAATAAGTAAGTAAAATAAATAAACTATATCCTGCCTCACAAGGTTGTTAGGAGATAAAATGAGGAAATGCACAATAAGGGCTAGGAACAGAATGACATACGGAGCAGTGGTTAGTAAATGGTGGTGTCACAACTGGCTCCTAGTATCCACACTGGCCTCTGTGCAGAAATGGAGGTCCAGATGTGAGACTGCAAGTCCTCAGCCTTCAGAGGGACAGGGCTGGATACAGAGGAGAGCCTCGGACAGGGGAGATCTCCTTGTGCCCAACTCTACAGGATATTCCAGAATTAAGCCCCAAAGAAGGGCTAAGGGATAGGATCATGAAGCCATGAACGAGGCCTGGATGCTGCTCCGAAGCAAGGGCCTGGCCTTCCCTGATGGGATTTTCTCTCTCAAACCTCATTCTCTACCTCCCTCCCCCTTCCCAGTGTGGGCAGGGAACAATCCCCTACCCTCAACCTTCCAAGACTCTTATTTGATGCTTTTAAACTTTTTTCTTTATTTAGACAGAAAAGACCAACTCTTTGAAAGTAAAATGCAATAAATAAATAAGTTAAGCATAGAGAACTGTCTGAAACTGACTCCCCGGTCTCCCCTTACCACTCCCACCCCCACCCCATTTTCTTTTCCCTAAAACCTTCCTAAAGAAAATGATCAGGTAATAAACCCCTTTACCCCTCCCCACACCCCTCCTCCCAATATCCAATTACCCCCCAAAGCAAAGGGAGAAATTAAGAGAGAGAAAAAAATCCAAGGGCAACATTGTCTAAACTCCCAGAAAGAGAGATGGCAGCGTCCGGGCCAGGCCGGGCGGGCTGGATAACGCACGGGTGGTAGTGGTATTTACACGGAGGGAACCAGCAGAGACTGTAAACATTTTTAGGGATTCAGGGGAAGGTCTTTTCCTCGTGAAAGGAGGAGGGTCTCTGTGGCTGACTGGCAGAGAGGCAGCCCTCAGGGCTCCCCCACACTCTCCTTAGAGGGGGCCCTTGGGGGAGGCAGTGAGTTTTAGGGCTGGGAGCCCAAGAGTCAGGGATATCCTACCTCTAGCTAGAGGGTGGAGGGGAGTGAGAGCCAGCTTCCAAGAAACCCCTAATGTGGGGAAGAGGCTGGGGTGAGGGTGGGCTGGGAGTGTATGGCAGGCCTCTGCAGCTCTCCTGGGGCCTGCACAGGTACAACAGGCCCGCTGGTGGGGGAGGCAAGTACAAACGCTGGGCACAGAAGGCCCGTCACAGGAGCCCAGCAGAAGGCAGATACCCCGGAACCTTCGAGCCTGTTCCTCGCTCCCTCACAAAGGCCAAAAGGGCATCTAGGAGGAAATGGGCCCTTGGAGGCAGGGAAGCATAGCCACGGCCCTTCAGAGAGGCAGGGGGTGGGAGGGGCCGGTGTCTTGTGCCCCCCAGGGGCCACGAAGCAGCGTTTGCCCCAGAACCCAGTCAAGGCCCAGGGCAGGTGTGCGGAGAGGGCCGGGGCCAGTCGTGGGAAGAGGGTGTGAGGCGCCCCTTCCTCTGGTATCTCCAGACCTGTGAAGGAAGAAACATGGGTGAAGCATGGGGAAGAGCCCATGATGTGGGTCATGGGCTCTGGGGGAGGGGAGGGGGCTGGGGTGAGTGACAGCATCTAGGATGGGGCTGCCTGAGGAAGGCAGATCATCAGGCCTCAGTCCAAACGGACCCATCTGCCCCCACCCGCCAGCCATGAGAGCAGGGATAGAGGAGACAGGAGGGAGGGGGCGAACCATACAGGAAACCAGAGGATATTAGGAAGGAAATAGTCAAACAGCCCATGAGAAAAATAAAGACTGGAGGGGGAGAGAGGCAAAGAGATGACAACAGACAGGCAGGCAGAGAAATGGAGAGAGAGACAGAGAAGGGAGTGCATGTAAGAGACAGACACCTGGAAAAAAGAAAGGGAACATCCACAGAGAAGGCCAGGGCAGAGCCCAGGTCACAGCTCAGGGATGGAGTCTCATGGGGTGAGACCACCCCCGGCCCCCGGGTAGTGCTCTCATTCCTTTTTGGAAAGGAACACAGAAAGCAAGAGAGAAATGCACAAACACAGACCACAGTCACCAACCACTGTAGACCAAGCACGTCCCGCGAGCTGCCCCCGGCCCTGACCTTGGGCTTGGGGGTGCTTCCCTCCGCGGCCCCTCCCCAAATAACAAACAATCGGCTCCAAAGACAACACGCTCGTTCCATGCAACTTACAGGGGCCCGGAGCAGGGGTCCGGGGATGGGGGCTTCGGCCGACAATGGACACGGGCCCTGGGCTGGGGGGGCCCCCAGGGTAGGGGGAGTTAAGCAGCCAGGATTGGGGGGAAAGGGGAGAAACAGAAAATGTGGGTATTTTTCTTGGGTTGTGTTTTCTCAAGGGTTTGGTCCAAAGGAGATTAAACAATGTGAAAGTAAACAAGGCTTACAGCTCTGTGGCCATGAGGTTGAGGTGGTGGCCAGCAATGGGGGTGGAGGGGACCTGATAAGTAAACTTCACAGGCAGCGCATTTCAACCTCTTCCACCTAAACCAGAGCAACTCCCAAGAGGCCAGGAAATGGGCTCCCCCAGTCTGTCCTGTGCACTCTGCTGCCCCATGGGGCTGCTGCTACGTGGGAAAAATCACCTGAAGTCCAGGGCAACCAGGGCTGATGTCCTCACTTCTCAGGACAACAGAGATTCTAGGAGCCAAGGATTCTAGGGCCCTCTGGCACCCTCAGCCAACCCCTTAATCCTCCAGTCCTATTCCCCTAATTCTACTCCAACCCGAAGGAAAACCAGAAAGAGACACACACAGACATGGACACTGACCAGACAAACGAGACCGGATATTGTGGAAGGTCCAGGGAGTGGACACAGATATATACAAAGACTTGGCTCTTTCTGGGGTCACAGAGTGTGTGTGTGTGTGAGAGAGAGAGAGAGAGTGACTCAGATTATTGAAAAACAGCTGAGGGAGCTGCCCCAGTCCCCTGCTTCGAGTGCTCAGGATCAAGGGTGGGGTGGGCATCCCTGAGGGTGGTGGAGGACAGGGGTGGGGGGCAGTCCAATTGAGGGCCCTGGCTGCAGTGTGTAGAGCTGGGGAGGGAGGCCACAACACAGGAGCGGGACCCACCTGGGGGCCCTCAGTAGGGCCGGTTGGCATCCTTAGGCCGCTTTAGCTGGACTTTGAGGCGCTTCATGCCGATCTGGAAGCCATTCATGGCCTGGATGGCAGCCTGGGCACTGGCCGGATTGTCGAAACTCACAAAGCCTGGGGTGAGAGGGGCATAAGGCCCGGCCCAGCCCCACCTCGCTCTCCTGTGCTTAGGAGACCTCCAGCACTACCCTGTGTCTCCCAAGTGTCCGAAATGCCTAGAAAGCTGCCTGACACCTAGCAGCATTCCGTAGGAACTTGTTGATTGATGGGTTGAATGGAGGAATCCAGTCCAGCCACTAAAATTACCACGTTCTTCCCAGCATTCTGTGCAGGGACCCCTTCCTCTGCCTGGATAACTCTGAGCCTGCCCTTTGAAAATGGCCACTTCCAGGCCCTAAATGGCTTCTGAAGCAGAGAAGAACATTCCCTTTTTCCCCTGAGGCAGCCTTTCAAAGATGTGAAGGCAGCTAAAACCGACTCCCTAAGCCTGCCTTTTGCAAACCAAACATCCCCAGACCATGAGCCTATTTCAGACCTCATGAGGCATGAATTTGGCCAGTTTTTAAGAGAAAAGCTGAAGGAAGAAGAGACGGGCCTGGGCAGCAGCTGGGTGTGGCATGTTGGGTGTGTCAAAATGGTTCTTTTGTACTCTTGGATAGTCAGCATTTCAAATACTGGGTCCACTGTGACCATAAATGCCTTCAAATGTATTAGACCTTGTCCTGATTTGGAATATGGCAAAAAATGTGCCATATCATATTCTTACCAAAACATTTGCTCTGATTGGTGGCCCGGTCAACAAAGACTTTGGCTGAGATGACATGGCCAAAGGGGACAAACATCTGGAGGATTTCTGAGTCAGTGAACTCCTGGGGCAGGTGGTAGATGAAGATATTGCAGCCATCAGGGCCTGGGCGGCGGCAGAGACAAAAGGAAGAGCTCAGTGACTGGGAGGCGCACACTCCAGGAGCAAAGGTCCCAGGGAAAGCAGATCCTGGGAGGGCCCTCCAGTCCCAGTCCTCGACAGTGTGGGCCAAGCCACCCCCTCCCCACTTGCTTTCATCATGACACGTGGGCAAGAGCTGGGCTCAGCACAGGGCAATAGGGAGTCCCCAAGCCCATAACGAGGGCATTCCGATCTCCCAAGGCCCCAGGCAGTACCTTCTCTTTGCTGCTGCTGTTGCTGCTGCTGCTGCTGCTGCTGCTGCTGCTGTTGAGGGGGTGGTGGGGGCTGCTGGGCGACCAGGGCTGGAGGCTGCGGGAATGCAGGCGCCACCAGGCTGTAGGCTGCTGGGTAGGCTGCTGGGGTGGGGAGGACAGAGAGGCTGATGGGGCTTCCCTGGCTTCTTAAGCCCTCCCAGCCAACCCTGTCTCCCTTCCCCTAGCCCAGGCCAGTGGCAGCTGCAGGGCTGAGAGGTTGTCAGGGAAGGAGCTGCCTCAGACCCCTGGGTGTGCTGCCCTTAAAGACCCCTCCTCACAGTTGGGCTTGTCAGTAAAGCCTGAAGAGGGTGATTGGCAGGGAGCCAAGAAGCCCAGACCCAGTTACTGGACCTCTTTTCCTCCTGCTGCCCCTCCCACCTGAGCAGGGGCCCGGGCTAGGGCGCCTCACCTGTGTAGTGCTGCATCCCTGCGTAGGCCTGCTGCAGGGGGTCCACGGGAGCTGCGGGGCTCTGGGCTGGGGAGAGCAGCACAGACCATGAGCGTGGACGTGGCATGCAGTGGGAGCCCCCAGTGCCTCTCTGGGCCTCTGGGCCGAGGCCAGGCAGGTGGGGAGCAGAGCTTCTCTGGGCATGGGGTGTGAAGTGAGAAGATGGAAATGCACAAAGCAGTGGGAAGAGGGGAAAGAGCCCAGCATTAGGAAGACTTGGGTCTGACTGTCTTGCAACCCTGGACAGGTCGCTTCACTGCTCTACACCTCAGCTTCTTGGCTGAGCCCAACAGGAAGGATCATCCCCACCCAGGATGGCAGGGCAGGAGGAAGCATCTGTAACCCCCACAGCTGGAAGGGAAGGTGTGTCCTGCCTCCCTAATGGGAGTGGTGGCTTAGATGGTTGCTGGGATGGGGTGGGCAGGCAGAGAGTCCCACCTGGGTAGGGGTGAACCCCGTTGGGATACAGAGCATCAGGGGCAGGCTGCCCAGTGGGCTGAGTGGGCACCGGGCTGTAGCCGTTGACGCCCAGGGCAGCCGGAATGGCAGAGACAGGCGTGGCAGCGATGGCAGGAGGGGTGCTGGTTCCTGGGGAGGAGAAAGCGACAGGAACAGAGCAGAGGAGCAGACACACACACACACACACACACGCAGAGAACCAGTCAGGAAGTCTGCGGGCGGAGGGGAGGAAGTAGGCCACTCTGACCCCTGAGTCCCTCCTAGACCCCGAGGCTTCCCTGAGCAATGCTCTGTGCCTCTCCCTACCCCTACCATGCTTAGCTCCCTTGCCCAGCCTTGCCCAGGCCATACCTGAGGATGGGGTGATGGGGGTGGCGATGAGGCCATTGGCATTGATGGCAGCCATGTGCTGCATCTGCACAGCAGCCATGGTGGCCATGGGGCTGAGGTAGGCACTGTGAGCCGCTACCAGGGCCGCCTGCTGCTGCATCAGCTGGGGGGAGGGGAGAGGAGAGTGGGGCAGGCCTCCTATGCCCCAGCCTGGCTCCCTCCCAGCCCCGGGTCTTGGCATCAGAAGGGTGGGGGCAAGATACTGGGGGTCAGGAGGGCTGGCCCGGCATTGGGGGCAGTGCTCACGGCCTGGGTGTAGGCGCTGTAGGCTCCGAACTGGAGGGCGATGGGGCTGAACATGCCCAGCTGGGTGGCCACCTGCTGCATGCGGCGGAGACCCCGCTCCTTCTCAGTGTCAGCAAACTTCACCACCAGGCTGGACGAGGCACCCTGGGCACGGGCCCGCACACAGGTCAGAGGTGCAGGGTCAGGGTCTCTCCTCCCCAGAGCCCTCAGGACCTGGTCTCCATTCCACCCCCATGGCATGGCCTGGCCTCTCTGAGAGGGCGGCCACCATTTTGCATATGACAGATGGGGAGATTTTAATCCCACCCTCTCCCTGTGCTAGGATGTGCTAGAAGCTAGAAGAAAAATTGAGGAATGTGAAGGCATATGCTTGGAAAGTGAAAGACCTACTAGAATGGAAAGGGCATCATTGGCTTCTCTGTGAGGACCCTGAACTGGAAATCATCCCCACCCTGGGTCGCCACAGCAAATGTTTAATCTCAGGCTAGTCTTCCCTTGTAGCTGCCCTGCGTGCCTTACCACGACTTCTGCCCCCACACCCCAGTCCTCATGGTGTGCCTCAAATCTTAATACTAGTCTGAGCTGAATAAAAGCCAAATTAGAGCATCTGCAAGGACGATGGTAGAATCCTAGAATCTCAAAGCTGGAAGGGGCATAGGGTCATTGGACACAGTTCTCTACCCAATGCTGTGTCCCCTCCACCAAGTCCCCGTGAGTTATGCTGGAGAGCTGTGAGTTATGGGAAGTGCACAGCCTTCTGAGTCAGCCAGTTCCAATTTAGAGGTGGGTTCTAGGGTGGTCACTGACCTAACGCTGCTGTGCAGGGGCAGGGAAAAGGGGTGTACGTGGGGCCTCTAAGAAAGTGTCCTGGTGCCCCAGCAAATGAGGGTAGGGGGATATGGGAAGGCTGGAGAAGAGATGGGGGTGAAGGGAGGGCTGGGGAATGGAGGGGGAAGGAGAGGGACATGAGGGAAATTTGGCTGAAGATGGATGGGGTATAGGGGAGGAGTGGGGAGGTGGGGAAATGCCATTTGAAATGTGAGGGTGCCCCTAAGCGGTTTGGTTCTTCTGCCAGAACATTCTTTTCCAATAAATTCAAATAGCCCATCCTGAGTGGACTGCTTATCTGGGCCAGGGCCTGGCGGGTGGGCAGGGTGGGAAGGAGAGGCCCAGGGGCAGGGGAGTGGGGCTCACTGGCAGGGTCCGGCTGCTGTGAAGGGTGTTGATGGCTGCCTGGGCCTCGGCGTGGGTCTGGAACTTCACGAAGGCGCAACCTGGAGAGGTTGAGATGGAGGAGGAGAGGGGTGAGCACCCATCCCCATGGGACTCCGCAGTGGAACCCGATGCCTAGGGAGCCATGGGGGTGGAACGGGAAGGGGAAGGGCCCGGTGGGGAAGGGGCAGTGGGTGGGCTACCTTTGCTAGTGCCATCTGGCCCCCGGAGCACAGTGCACTCGTCGATGGTGCCGAAGGGCTCAAACATCTTCCGGACATCCTCATCTGTCTGCTGCTTCCCTAGCATCCCCACAAACAGCTTCCGGTCTTCTGGGTGATAGGGCACAGGAGGAGGGCATGTTCAGGGCCTCCTTGCTGCCTTCCCAGCCCTTCTCCTTCCACCCTTCCCTAGAGCTCCTAACACTATTTCCGCTACCCTAGGGGCCAGTGGCTGTGGGGGCTGATGGTTAGGGAATGGGGTACATTGCAGAGGTTGCTCATCCCAGCTCTGAGGGACTCGCACTCCGCCCTGGGCCTCGGTTTTGCCATCTGTACCCCCCCAGATCTCGCCCCCTCTGGCCACACTGACTCCGGTCTCACCACAGCTGGGAACTCTTCAGAATCGTCGGGCTTTCTCCCTCAAGAAAGGCTACCCCTCGACAACTCCAGGCCCTGGGCCTGAGGGTGGGAGGAGAGGGACAGAGTCCAAAGGCACAGAACCTACCTCCTCGGCTCTCGCTGTCGGCTGGCTTGACCTGGATCGGCCTGTTCATCTGAAGGAGAGAAGAGAAGGCAGCTGCTGGAGACCTCCTCTGAACACCCAAGAGCCCTCCCAGGCCGGGCCCTGCAGAGAGACTAGAGGGGCAAGCCCCAGGCCCTCTAAGTTTCTGATAGGAAGGAAGGGACAGGGCCCAATATTGTTCTGGATGAAGGCCTGAGGGGATCAGAGGCACGGAGAGAGAGGATGTAGAGGGAGATGCTCATGGGCACAGCTCCAGGCTCAGGTTGGGCTCCCAATGACTTGGCCAGGGATGGGTGCTGCTGTCCTGAGTGGGAGAAGGGGGCCTGCGCATAGGACCCGGGGCCTGAGAGAGAGGCCAACCAAGGGGTTATTTAATAAGAATTGCCTCAATTCTACAAAGTGGGCGCAACAGAGGCCACTCTGTGAAGAAGCCCCAAGGAGGACTCTAGACCGAGGGAGACCTCACAGAGACCCAGACTTCCTTCTGACCCCTAGAGTTGTGTCTGCCTCTCTTTCTGCCCCCCTATACCCCTTGACCCCAGGGGGAAGGCACTCGGGCAGCACAAAGGGAGCAGATGCCCAGTCTCCGTGGCAACGGGAGAATGCGCACCATGGCAACCGCCCACTCAGCCTGATTTATCCGTCCCCGTCGCCCTGGCGACCGTGGTGACGTCATCACTTCTGCTGCTCCACACACCCAGAGAAGGAGTGGGGTGGGGGGTGGTAACAGGGTATGCTGGGGGTGGAGGATTTGGTGGGGGCTGGGAGGTGGGGGAGGGGCCCAGAAAACCTTCCTGATTCTGGAGGGAGGCTTGCAGAGCAGGCCCTGCAGGGGCCATCCCATCCCTTCTCCTGCCTCCCTCCTCCAGAGCAAATCCTTGGTGCCTGGAGGGCTCTAAAGGAGGAGTTGCTGTCCCGTGCTCCTTCGCAATTTACCCTGTGCACGGAAGTCCTCCAGAGCTCTAACCTCTCCCAGACCCCTGCAGTATCTCCCTTTGTTCAGTCTTCAGTGGAAATGGAGAAATTCCTAGTTCCACTCTCCATGTTCTTGTCTGGTGAGAGGACTTGGAAATTACTCCTGCAGGTTGATTTTCTTAACCAGGGTGGGGAGTATTATAGGAACTGGAGAAAGAGGAGAAGGACTTAGTATTTCGTGTCTGAAAATATTTTGCTCTTGAGGACTCTGACAGCTGGAACCACACCTGGTTGCCCCACTCATCTGATGGTGGGGCAGTAGTTCCAGTGACCAAAAAAATTAAACCATCCATTTACATTCTGAGGGTGAGGCTAGAGGTACCCTCAGGAAAGGCACTGGACTGGGAGTCAGGAGACCTGGATTTAAGGACTAGCCCTGCCCTGCCACTTACTAGCTGGGCGACCTTGGACAAGCCACTTGTCCCCTCTGGGCCTCAACTTCCTTATCTGTAAAACAAGGGAGTGGGCCAGGCGATGTCTAGTCAGGTTCCGGTCAGCTCCAGGGCTCCAGCATGTGGAGATCCTGTATGTGGCATCACTTAGCGCCAAGAAGTACAGAAGTCACAGTTGCCCCTGCCCCTTCTCACCCTGGATCCTCACCCAGGTGTCCATCATGCCAGTCAGTCTGGCCGACTCCACCAGTTAGGTATTCCCGGCCTCGGACCAAATGTAAGCCCCACTTCAACTGATACTCCTATCCCAGAGCCCCACGCCCACCCCCCAAATCTCTGGATCTGAGAGCAGCTGGTGGGGAGGGAGGGTAACAGTCACACAAATCCTCCAGCCAATCTGCCCCCAGCTTTATCGCCCGCCAATCTGGGATTATCCCATCCGAAGCTCAATCTCCTTAGGCGTGTGTGTGTGCGCGCGCGCACGAGTGCGCATGCGCAGGCAAAGCACAGTGGGGCAGATGCTCCGGGTGCACAGGCTTTCACCTCCTTCTCTCCTGTGCTCTAGCCAAAGCACTCAGGAAATTCCCTCACAGGCACCTCTGCAGCCAGGCACCCACCCCTATGCCCACCTCACAAGAAGTAGAATCAGAACCAGGGTTGGGGGATTCTTACGCTTGGCACTAGCCCCTTCCCAGCACGCCTGGGGATTTGCTGTTCTAGATGGAGATGGGAACCTGGGACCCAGAGAGAAAGGATGCAGTTCCCTCCTGGCATAGGCTCCCAGGCACAAAAATAGCATCTCGAGAAATACCCACGGCTGATGTGGATTCGCACAAAGAGACACACAAGTGTACAAACCACAGCAAGGACCGTGCTTACGGTAGGCTCCCCCTACACGGTCACAGACAGGGCCCTTGGCGCCCCAGTGTCCCCTTCCCAGCCTCCTTCTTCGTGGCCTGGCACTTCCTGTGGGGAGCTCAGGCTTTGTTAGCTCAGCTCGGGCACACCTGCCCCCTCCCCTGAGTCCAGCTGTGCCCTGTTTACCTGGCAACCAGGCACGGTGCCTCTCCTCCCTAGTTACTACCCACCAGGTGACAGGCCCTCCCTCGGGCCTCCCAAAGAAGAAGGGGCTATTTATACCCCAACCTAGTATCGCGGAGCCCCTCCACCACGGTCACTTTTAAGGCCCTCATCCTCGCCAATAGCAAAAATTCCACTTCCAAGAAGACCTCACAGTTCTCACAAAATCTAATTCTTTTGAGGGTACAGCCTGGGGTCCTGCCGCTCCTGGCTCCACACTTGTTCCGGGAGTCCCAGACCACTCACGGGTTCTCTCTGTGGGGCCAGAATCCACCTTCCTGACTGCAGGCCGACAGGGAAGGCCCATGTCCCCCAAGTGGGATTTTGGTTCAGGGTGAAGGGGGAAGAGCTGGACAGAGGGCAACCCCCACTCCACCGCCTCCAGGAGGCCACACCCTGCTCACAGGACAAATGCAGGGACCTGTGGCAGAGCCACTCCTGGGAACTCTTAGGGCAGAGAAGAGGAAATGGGGCTCAGCAGCTATAGGCCCAGCCCCCATTCTTTCTCTTTCTCTCTGCAGCCCAAAGTATCACCCTAGTATGGTAGCACCTTCTAGATTTTGGGGGTGACAGAGATGGGGAGCAAGGAGGGGGGGCTAAATGTCTCCCATTAAAAAAAAAAACACCTGCAGTAGGAAGGCATGGAGATTAAACAGTAGGAAGAACACAGTTATGCAGGAGCTGACACAATGCACACACACGCGTGTGCATGCATACACACGTGCAAACACACACTGAGGGGAGAATGCAGGTGAAAGGAGAAGACTTGAGGAAGACAAAGGGTCACAGACGTCTGCTCCCCACAGCTGCCCTGGATCTGCTCCTTCACACCCTTTGGATGAGGGTCTGCCTTGGAGGATGGAACCCTCATTTCCTACTGGAAGCTCTGTCAGATCCCTCTGGATTCTGTCCCCTGGGGCAAGGACTAAAGTGGAGAATTCAGCGTCACCTGGGAGCTCTGGAGCAGGGCTAGACAATCATTAACCAGGCGCCCTTCTTCCTCACCCCCATCCTGGCCTGGACTTCCTCAAGAAGGGCAGGTGGCGCCTCTCCACACCCAGGATGGAGCTCTGCCTGAGCTGCCAGGCAGCTCGAGGGGCACAGACCCAGGGTAGACACCCACAACTGGTACACATCACCCTTGGGGCTCATGCCCATCCCCAGGCTGTCTCTCATCCATGTTTTCACTCCAATCCTCTTTATCTACCTTTTGCTCTGACCCCCTCTCATTTCTGCAGGGCTCCGAGATAGGGAGACAACAGAAAAAGACAAATGGTGATGGAGATGAAAACTGTTGATTTGTGAGGGGCCTCCACAGAGAAAAGCGGGGAAGGCAAGTTGGGACTGGATGGGGACCAGGTTTGCCAGGGATACGTGTGCCCAAACCCCGCACATCTGGCCTGTCAGGAGCTCACATGCCTGTATGCACAAACACACACTCGCCTTGGGTCCTGTAGCTCACACACGTGCATGACCCTTAACTCCGGCTGCGACTGGCAATGGCTATTCTTGCCACCAACTGGGATAAGATCGTTGGTGGGGGTGGGGTTTTTGGTGGATTTGCCGCAGTTGGCTTTGCTTTCCTAGCAGTGCTCAAAGGTTGAGGCCACGGAAGGGCTGGGTCATGGACCTATGCAAGGTTTGAAGTTGGGGGTGGTTGCAGCAGTTCTAATTTTCCCAGGTCTCCACCTGCCCTTTCCCCATCTGTTTTTTCTATTTCCCTCTTAGGAAGAGATGGGTGAGCAGCAGCAGTCTCCACTTCCCATGTTGGAGAAGCAGTAGAGGCCAGGACAGATGTGTCTCCGGCACCCAGACCCTGCTGAGCAAATGTTTGCTGAAGGTGGGGATGGAGTTAGGTCTCAGGAAGGCACTTGCTGGGATTCACAGTCTGGAAGAAGGCAGAGCAGACAGATAGCAAAGGGAGTGGGGGCATCCTTTCCCCCCAGCTTCCATGACCGGGGAAGGGGGACAGTCCAAGGTTCTTTCTTCCTGCCCTCAGTTGCCAGCCCAGGCTTGGAACAATAAGCAAGGCTGGCTGGGAAGAAGAAGACACAAAGAGATAGGACCTTGCAGGAGAGGGGCCACCTCCATGGCCACCCCTGCCTCCCTGGGCATACTTGGTGGCATCAGGCCTGATCATCTACAATGTCTGTCCCTGCCCTTGCCTGCTACTCTCAGGCCTACCTCCAGCCCAGACCTGCCTGGGCCTGCCCAGGCCCTGCTTTACCCTAATGCTCTGTGGCTTTGTTCATGGGACTCTTCCTGGTAGACAGAAAGGAGAAGGGAGCTCAAGAACCAGCACCGAGATGCCAATCCAGCCGGCACCAGCTGCCTGTTCTCAGGTCACAGGCACTCCTCCCTCATCTCACAGCCAGCCAGTCTGCCTTTCCAGAGTGACAAAAGAGTGCCTGGGTGCCTCCTGCTCACCCTGATCCACACTTGGTGTCCAGAGATTTTTCCCCACACCTTCCAACCAGCGGGTCCTCCCTCTAGTGTTGCCCCATGGGCAGCTTGGGAAGTGGGGAAGGGGCTGCATCTGCTCCTGGTAAAAGTCATGTTTACTCCACTAATCGCTGCTTTCCGTCTCTCTGGGTAACAAGAAATGCATGCATCTGTAGCAAGAAAGATGGATGCTAGAGAGAGAGAGAGGGACTTCCTGGTGATGAGAGCAGGTGGAAAATATGCTCAGTGTCAGGAGGGTGGTGAGCCTCCTGCCATTTCTATGGCCCTTCTCAGCCCCCTGGCCCTGCAAAGGGCAGGACTCACCCCTGGAAGTGTCTTCTGTTCGTGTAGGGCGCTCTGGGCCTTCAGGGCTGAATCCCGGGCACAGTATGTCAGGAAGGCACATCCTGAGGAGGGGCAGGGGCAGAGAAACATGGCGGGGGGCGGTGAGTCCTCCATCTCCCCTCTCTGAAAGGCTCCCTTCCAAAGACTGACGACTGGGAAGCTTTCCATTCTTGTCATCTTCTGCCTGCTGGGGTGGGGAGGTGTCTCCAAGGGGTAGACACTCTGCCCCAGAAGTGGGGCAGACACCCGGAGGCCTAAATACTGGTGGTGATGGAAGAGGGAGGACACTTGGGCTGTCAGGAGATGGGCTTTGTGTAAGGAGAGGAGAAGGACCATGTGACCGCCAGACAAGTTGGAGTAGTGTGGCTTTCTCTCCTGCTGAGCTGTTCTCCTTTCCCCTCTCCCTCACCTCCACCTCCCTCCATCTTGGTCACCATCATCCCTCTCTTCTCCCATTTTCCCTATTTCCTCATCTCTCCCCAACTCCACCATAGGCAGGTGGAGGGTGGAGAGTGAAATAGAGAAGGGAAGGGAAGAGCAGTTAGCCGGAAGTGCCTCCTCCCTGTGCCAGGTGGAGGGGGAGCTAGTGTGGCCCCTGGGATCTCCAGTGCGTGGAGCTCTCCAAGTGCTGACCCCGACCGCCCTGCCTAGCCGCACAGCCCTTGGATAGGCCTGAGGAGCACCCTCCCTTCTCCCTCACTCTCTTAACTTTCTAAGCCTCCCACACTTTCCAGATCTTTACCAATCCCCAGCCTTCATGCCCTGCTTCCTAGTCCCTCTCTTTAGTCCTGGAGCTGCCTTGCCCTGTCCAGCTCCACGCTTTCCACATTAAGCACCTGACCCTGTGTCCTGACCCCCATTCCAATATTATCTGAGGCTGCTCAGATTCTCAGTCTTGCTACACACACACACACACACAAACACACACACACACACACACACACATACCCCTACCCAGCTGCTTATCTCCCAAACCAGCTCTCTTGTCCCTCCATTCTTTCTTGAGTTCATCCCATGTGACATCAACACCCCCATATGTCTGGGATCCACATCTTTGTGCCCTCTTGACAACTCTTTGCCCAAAAAAGGCCCTCCTTAGTCCTTCACCTGGGTTTCCTGATCACTAGCTGAGTTCTTTTTATGCTCCTCCATCCACTTTCCCCAGCCCTGAACTCCTCTCCTTCCACATCAGCCCTTCCCAGCCGCTCCACCCCTCCAGCCTGGCTTAGCTACCCCCAGCCTCCCAGCCCACCCCGAAGCCTCTTCAGCCTGCCCGACCCCTCACCCTTGTGCAGCCCGGTGTACTTGTCCTTGATGACAGTCAGCTCGAAGATCCGACCAAACTGTTCGAAGATGGGCTTCAGGTCCTTCTCCTCCAGATGCCTCGGGATCTGCCCCACAAACAGCTTGATGGCATCTGGCTCCTTCATCGAGGCGGCCCAGGAGGAGGGCCGAGGGAGCAGGGAGAGACCCAAAGGCCAAGGGGAGCTGCCCAGCAAGGAGATAAGTGGTGGGGCCCGGGGGCCCAGCCGGGGCTGGCTTTCCCTTTGGCCCCCAACCACGCTGCTGAGCAGAGGGGCGGCTCGTCACACAAAGGAGGCCCAGGGAGTTGAGGGCTAGGGGTCAGGGGTCTAGGCAGACGCTGTCATGCCACCAGGGGGCATCGCCCAAACAAACGATCTCCCTCCCAGAGATCTGGCAAATGTCCCAGGATGGGGGTGAGTGTGGCCAAGACCTGGAGGGAGAGGTGGTCGCCGGGGCGCTGGGGCTTAGAGGGCTGGGAACTGGGAGTTGAGATGAGAGCTGGAGGCGGGGAAAGGGCCTGAGGAGGGTGATAGGGAGGAGACTGAGGGGTTAAGGGGCCTGCTATGGTTGCCAGCAGCGTCAGTGAGGGGGGCCCACTCCTGATGTGGGGCAGGTGAATGTCTCGTTGGCTTCCCTGGGAGGACACCTCCCCTGTGACGGATCCTTCTGCTGGGTCCGAAGATCCCTGATGCCAGATGCTTGATCTCTGATGGCGGCAGGGCTTCAGGGGTCCCTTTTGCCCTGCCGCCCCCCTTCAGGTCCTCCCCT